CCAACTCATGGTAGACTCACTGAAACTAATGGGCCTAAGCCAGTCGTGTCTATTAGTGTTAATGGGTACGCTCTGAGTATGATTTGACACTGGATACAACCCATTTTCTCCATGCTCTGTCCTGGAGGGGAATAGGTACACTAGTCAACAGCTCACTGGGTATACTTCCAGCACACTGTTGTTTCCTATGTACATCTACATGCCACCTAGGTAAAGGTAAAGGGACCCCTGACCATTAGGTCCAGTCATGATCAACTCTGGGGTTGCGGCACTCATCTCGCTTTATTGGCCGAGGGAGCCGGCGTACAGCTTCCAGGTCATGTGGCCAGCATGACTAAGCCGCTTCTGGCGAACCAGAGCAGCACACGGAAACGCCGTTTACCTTCCCGCCAGAGTGGTACCTATTTATCTACTTGTACTTTGATGTGCTTTCGAACTGCTAAGTTGGCAGGAGCAGGGACCGAGCAACTGGAGCTCACCCCATCGTGGGGATTCGAACCACTGACCTTCTGATTGGCAAGTCCTAGGCTCTGTGGTTTAACCCACAGTGCCACTGCGTCCTATGCCACCTAATCGGTCAGTAAATCAGCACATGTAAAAAGTGTTCCTTAATACCATGACAAATACAGAGGAGAATAAAAACGAAAATGGGGATTTGAAACAAATTTTGGGGGAGATGCTCTTCTATTAGCTGCCTTCTCCCTCCCTACTATAGTTTCTAACTGCTGATTCACATAATGCATCACTGGAGAGTTCATCTGATGTCTATCACTCAGTGATACACAGCTAAAAATATACATACAGCAGGATGATATGGGAATAAGTTGAAGAATCCTGAAATGGTAGAATGGACTGTGTGTCTCATACATACACACACACACAGAGGAGAGAGAGAGAGAGAGAGAGAGAGAGAGAGAGAGAGAGAGAGTAGTAGCCCATTCCAGTTCAGCTAATTAACAGCCATGATAATTAAAGCACATCCTTAGTACTTTCCCCCCTAAGTGTACCAAATATTATTGTCTTGATAACACATTTTCTAAAGGTTCACAATTTGCCTTGGCACAATTACAAAAGGCAATTTCCTGGGCCTTTGCAAGTCTGTTTTGAGTGAGAGAAATGCAGGTTTAAATGGCTGCTGTTTTTCATTAAAAGGAAAACTCTTGTGTTTTGATTCTATAACAAACAAATGAATGAGACATAAAAAAAATTGTTGTGTTTTTAATTAAAAACACAAGGCTGTTTCTCATTATTTCCTGTTGGGTGGTATCTTGGTTCTTCATGTTTGCCTTGTTTTTAGATGAGGCAACTCTCTAACTTTGTGCTCATGTCTCACAAGTTCACTAGAGGGCAAACTACACATTACTCTTCAGCCATGTGTAATCATGGCCCTGTGGCCTCCTTCAGTGCTGCAAAGTAAGTCCAGAACACAGGTGGGGTTACAAGCATTGGTGAGGGAGGGGAAAGTTTAGGGCTGTAAACAGTTAAGCACTTGCTTGACTCCGGTCGCTTCTCTGATGCCTGTCACCCCTGCTAGGAAGAATACACCATTAGTGCTTCATTACACAGACATGGCTATATTGTATTGTGTCATTTGTTCTTCAGATGAATGCACTTTTGCTTGGCCTTCATCTTAGCAGCATGCAAGGCATTAGCTTTCCCCACTGTGCATGTGAGAAATATTTTTAAACTTCTGTTAAATTTAATAGAATGGATCTCTAAAAAAGGCAGTATTGCTAAGCAAAATTGCCAGACCTAAATGTGGCTTCTGAAACTAGAAACCGAAGGAAAGTTTGACAGCTAAAACTTTTGACAGACACTAGTCAAAAAGGGATCTCTGCCTGAATGTACACAATCGCTAAGATCTCCCTTCTGTAGCTCCACCTTTATATCTCTGAAGACATTTAATCTAGGACAAGTCCCCAAAGCATCTTAAATAGAAGATAATTGGTCCCAAACTGAAAATCAAATATAAATAATTTGTGAATAGTATTAAAAGAATAAGGATAAGTTCCACTATCATTTCCACATTCTTTAATATTTATTTTGAAATAAATTCAAACACAAGAAAATGGAGGCTTGAATATGTTGTTGTCCAGAAACAGAGTGAAGTCTGTTTAGAAAATACTGATTCCATTTCATTCCAAAGTGCAAAATGAAAACAGAAGTGATAATTGCAAGAGAAATATGATTCAATGGCACATTGAGTTTGCCAGTTGAATGTTTATTATTCTAACTTAAGTTATTTTTTTGACCATTGGGTGTTTACAGTCTTCAGCCTAACTTGTCTGTGTCTATTCCAATTAAATAAATGTGTTCTCACACAACAGTGATGCATCTTTTGAAAAATTTGGTTGCTAATCATAGAGAACATTTGCCACATCTTCTTATTAAAGGAAATGTGATTGGTCGCAGGTTATGGATATAATAAGTTAAATCATCATGCTTATGTTATAATGGATCCTCTTGCTGCCTGTTTTAGTGGTTTAGACAGTAGGTATCAAATTTCTCTGAGACATTCTATTATTTTACTTGTTGGTTGATCTCAAGATTGGTCTTGTCAGGTGCTAGAGGGCTCAGACTATGTTAAAACTTTAGAGACACTGGAAACAGCCCAATTGATTGAAATTATATGAAGGGAAAATGGGGAAGGGGACTGTTCACATCAATATCACTAATGGATAAGTGAAAACCATGTATTGTCCATTAGATGAATACTGTGATTCTGTATTACTGGGTAGAACTTGTTTCTGTAACAACTCTATATAAGTGAAAGATAAAGGAAAGTAGAACCTTAAGTTGACTATCCAATTTTTCCTATCCACCACCATCCCATTTCCAGACCAAGTCAAGGACAGATGACAACTTGAGACAGCCCCATGGTTGTCATAGAGGCCATGAAGTCCTGAGCCAGAACATGGATGTTGAAATCAACCAGAGCTATCATTCTTAATTCCTCCAGCACACTCCTGAGATTACTTCCACCAGCTCAGTCAGAGAAGCTACTGGGCATCAGGGTAGATGGTACACTAGTAACAGCCCTCCCTAGCAGCGCTGTAGCTATTGGAGGGCTAGCTGGGTTTTTTTGCCCTGGGTGAAGCCTCCAGAGGGGCACCATTGAGGCTCACAACCTGTGTGTGTGTGTGCATGCGCAAATGCGCATGGAGGTCTTTGGCCAATCACCAGGTGCAGACCCTCACAGCCAGCTTCAAGATAGGGGTTTCCTGGTGATGGAGATGGAAGTTGATGGATCTCAGCTACACTCCACTCCCATACTGGCCCTTGCAACCTCTCTTGGTGTTGCTCAAAAGTATCTGCGTAAGCGCAGCGCACTCACCCAAGTCTCAGAAAAACACACCCAGATGAGCACCCAGGATGAGTGAGGTCTTGTTGTGTACTGCTCTGGTGTTAAGCAACAGCACACAAGAGACTAGTGGCTTGCTAAGTGTCTTTGTAGCAACAGGGACAATTTGATTTCACAATCTGCAACGAATGTATATAGCAGAATCACCAAACATGGGAAATGAGGGCTAGGATCATTTTCTAAGCCCTTTTTTTCCAGTCCTTTTATCTAAGTGGAAAGATACCAAAGTGGGTAGAGAGTTCTTGTACAAGCAGAACATTGCCAAAGAGGCCAACAGAGGTAAATGGTAGCTACAAAGAAGTGAACCTTGATAATCAGGCACAGTCTCAGAAAAGTACAAAGGTGAGCATGCAGCTGCCGTGGCAAAGAACAGATAGTTAACGTGATTTGAGCAGCTGGAAATAGGAAGTGGAAAGAGGGGATAAGGGAGATAGAAAAGGCATGTAAACAAAGTTGAAAGGCACTGAGTAAACTTGCTTAAAAGGAAGAGAGTGAAATTTTGATAAGAATATTAAGTGACTGTGCCAGTGTTCCAGCACTGATGAGATGTTCTGCAATTTCAGTTATTTTTTTTCCTTATTAGGAAAGGACACGTTGGAAGATACAGCTTTTCTTTTTACACAATGAATCATTTTGCAGAACCATAGAAACAATTGAAGGATTTGTCTCCTTTCATGGGACAGAATTATTTGCAATAGTTTAGAATGGGGCTGCCTGAACTGGGCTATTCAGTAAAGAAAAAAATGTGGTAATGGAAACACAAATGCAAAAATGAGCATCAGTAGACAAGAAGTGTGGTAGGTTCCTGATAGCTCTTCATCAGGAACAATATTTTAGCTGTCTAATGAAGTAGTGCTGAATTTCTCAACCGATGGGTTAACTCTTACAGAAAGCCTCATACATATGCTAACAGAGGAGACAAAAATTCTATTGTTAACCAGCAATATATTTGCACGGCTGATTTGCTGCAGGGTACATTAGCAAAAAAACTGAAGTGTTGGAAGCAGGGTTGTCGTCGTTTTTACAATCAAGCAATATATAAACTGTCTGGAGTAAATATCGAGAAAAAACAAGGATCTTTACCCCTACATTAGTAGCATAAACGCTGCAATGCAGACTGTAAATTCCAAGCTGGTACTTCTGCTAATAATGACTATTTGGTGGTGGCATGTTTTAAAGTTAATGTCTGCAGCCCTACTCAAAGCTTGCACAACACAACTTCAGCCATAGCAGAAGTGGACAATCAGTAATGTCTTAGGCAGGAACAAAAGATTAAGTCCGAAGTAAATGCAGAAAAGTAACTAAGCTATTAACTGAAATTAATATGTATCTAAATCACCAAATCTGCTACATACAAAGTATGGGATCTATGTAGGGTTTTTCTCTCTCTTTTTTTGTAGTGGGATGGGAAGGAGGCCAGGATTCTATGATATTTGCAGCTGGTTGGGACATAATTTATTCTCCAACAGGCCACTTCTTAAAATTATACTTTGATCCTAAAACATTTCACTGGGCTTTATTTCAATCCTGTTTTAATTGAGCCAATAAACAGTGTAGGACTTTTACTGGTTATAATTCTGAGCCACCATTTCACTCTCAAGTTTACTTGCTTGTCGGTTCTTCTCTGATGAAGCCTCAGTTCCTCCTACAGTGACCAGCCAAGGATTTTCTATGGCGTCTCTGCTTATTTTGACCTTGAGCAAGTAATGCATCTTGACTTTAGGTTCCTGTGTATATAGATGGAAATAATATTGGTTGACAAGGGATTGTAGCGCATGATTAAGAACGTGATTAAGAATATTTTTCAGGTTTTTATTTTAGTGAATGTCTATTTTAAATTCTCTGCAACTGTGGAATTTTAGCTGAAATTGTTAGACACCCCCCCCCCAGCTGTACCCTGTGAGAAGCATTGGTGAACAGTATGATATGTCTGTCTGAAATTGAGAGTTAAATTGATACCCTGTCCTTTTCCAAGAAGGGGACTTATAACATGAGAGCATAAGTAATTTATTTAACTCTCGCCTTCAGAACAGTTTCTTAACCTGAAACTGTTCTTAACCTGAAGCACCACTTTAGCTAATGGGGCCTCCTGCTGCTGCCGCGCCCCAGAGCACGATTTCTGTTCTCATCCTGAAGCAAAGTTCTTAACCCGAGGTACTATTTCTGGGTTAGTAGAATCTGTAACCTGAAACGTCTGTAACCCGAGGTACCACTGTACTGAGAAAGAATTGGGCCATGTTCTGTTCACGGGTCAGGCACTGTGACCCCTCCATATGCTGTTGGATTCCCAACTGCCATCTGCTCCATCTAGCATGGCTAATGAACAAGGGTGATTGGAGTTGTAGTGCAAGAACATCGGGGGGGGCGACACAGGTTTCCAATACCTGATCTGCTCCCTCCTGCACAACAGCTCTTTGTTAGATGGGAATCCATATTTGGAGTCTGTAGATCTCTCACTGTACCCCGACCAAGCACCCAAACATTGCCTTCCATGCTTTGCAAAGAAGTACAAGCTACCTCCACCAAGAGCATTCTGCAAGTTTTGAGGGTGGATCATGCCCTTGCCTACTATGATCTTATATACATGGGCATTTAATTTTGAACTTGTTTAGGAACTGTCCATGTAAGGAACTGTTTGATTGATTCATTCATTCCTGTCTCTTACTGTCCTAGGAGAGGTGTGGGGAATCTTTTGCCCTCCAGATATTGCTGAATGACAACCTCCATCATTCCAATGCTTGCTGTGGCTGATGGGAATTGTAATTCACCCCTGACCTATGCTCTTGTCAGATCAGTTACCCCAGAGTGGCTAAGAAAGACAGAGAGACAGAACTCATTACCTCTAAGAGAAGTGAAATGGCTCTCTCTCCTGCCAACCACCCTGCTATTCTCGGTGCTTATCTTCACTGATAACATAGTTTGAGAGCTAGTGAATAGTTAATAATGAATATATACTGGTACAGATTGGCTGCTTGGAAATAATCTGAGCCTTTTGGGGGAGGCCAGATGAAAAACTTAAATAACACAATCCCCAACTCAACACCAGTAGCAAATGTAGAACCCTAGGTTCTTATGGTAAAACTCTGCAACTGTTCTTTGGCTGCCTAGGTCATATTGTTGGGCGGGGGGTATTCCAAGGGTATTATGGAGGCTCCCTCCTTCATTTCTTGAGGAGCGATGCATATTGTGAAACATATTGTGCAACACATCTGTCATCTCATGATAGAAGACCTTCAGCCACCAATATATTTTCTTTCAGGAGAAGGAGCTCATTGGCAGTAAGATCCCTGCAGAGGCAATGAAGGATTCTTTACACTGGCAGAATAGTCAAGTAGCAAGTGTTTTCTGACCACAGCTATGCCATGGTGTTGAGTGATGACTTTTATTCCTCTCCAACTCACGTAATCGCAAGAATGCTGCTGTTATGTAGCATATTGCTTCCTAAGGTTTGCTTGGCTGCTTCTCTTTGGCAGTTATGAATTATATAAACTGTAAGTGCTTAACTACAAACAGAGGATTTTCCAGGTGGGTGATCTGGTTTTAGAAAGAAAAGACCAGCAGTCACTAAAATAATACGTTTTCTTGGAGACAGGCTACATGTTCAGACAAATCACATGGTGCAGCCCTTGGGTCATACCCCTTCAGAAAGCAGGTGGGGGAATTGCATGACTGAATAAAAAAATCTCCAAATTTATGCTCTAATCCTGGGCAATCTAGTTTCTATAGGCAAGGAGTCGTGTGTGTGTGTGTGTGTGTGTGTGTGTGTGTGTGTGTTATGTTTGGGTTCCCCCCTGTCATGGAGGAACATTCAAACATCACACATTATGAAGTGGTGCAGTCCCAGACAAACCGCATTACCTGATTACAGTGGTAGCTCAGGTTACATACGCTTCAGGTTACATACGCTTCAGGTTACATACTCTGCTAACCCAGAAATAGTGCTCCAGGTTAAGAACTTTGCTTCTGGATAAGAACAGAAATCGTGCTCCGGCGGCACGGCAGCAGCAGGAGGCCCCATTAGCTAAAGTGGTGCTTCAGGTTAAGAACAGCTTCAGGTTAAGTACGGACCTCCGGAACGAATTAAGTTCTTAACCCGAGGTACCACTGTATTTCGAATATGTACTCTTTCCCTTGGATAAGGATAGGAGGCAGGATTCAGTGTCTTTTATATATTTACTGAGTTTTATTTCATATACAATACCTTTATATATAGCTAATACAATTTAAAAAATAATTTTGAGACTTTTAAAAGAGCTGGATACTTAATAGGCAGCAGAGAAGCCACTTGTGCCAATATGAATACTTGTTAATACTTTGGAAATGTAGTAACTTCTGGAATCATATCTTTCCCCCTTCAGTAGAGCAATGTGATACTGTGAAAGTTGCAGCCTAACCAAGGTGATGTCCCAACCCAAACTAAGACCTTTGGCTGATATTTCCTGGGGCCTTTCATCACCACCCCACTGTTACATAACCAACTGTTTGACTTCTTACACAGAGGTGTAAGTTTTGCTATTACTTTAGCCTCCCTAGGTAGGTGATACCTTTCAGTCCATAAGATCCACAAAATTACCAGATTCATAAAACACAGCACTTATTTTCTGAATGCCTGAAAATGAAAACACTGAGCTGTTCTGGTGTTTTGTTTCTTCTCAAGAAAACGTGTACCATATGTTAAGCAAACTCAAACACATTTTATTTAATGTTTTATTAGATTAAAAAAAAAAAAGCCCCAAAAGCCCCACCCTGAGTGAATGGATGATTTATTCTGAAAAAACTCAAATACCACATGGTTTTTTAAATGCACACAGGAGGGCAGGGTGGGAAATCACACATTTAGAACAGTTCTTTACCACGCTTAAATGGGATCACATAAGAACATGAGCAATGCCACCCCCACAGCCAAAGTTTTATACAAATACCATACAAGTACTGCTGAGGGCATGTGAGGCAATGATAAAGGAGAGTGCCTCTGAGCATATGCAGAGTCTGTCCTTGACCACTCCTTCAGCATATATGTCTTAAGATACCACTAAGATCAAGAAGACAAGACAGGAGACTTGTATTCAAGGTCAAATGAAATGGTTCCATACGTTGCGAACCACCCTGTGATCTTCGGATGAAGGGCGGTATCCAAATCTAATCAGTCAATCAATCAATTTCAAATTGTGCATAATGATTAAAAGTATACCTTCCTAGCTGTGAGCTCTGTGGTTCCAGAAACCAAGGTATAGATGAGGAAATCCCCAGTTAGAACCTAACCAATGTGATGAACTCACTAGGTGGCCTTGGGTCAGTCATGGGGAGCTTGTAGCCTTCCAGGTATTGCTGGACTATGGTTTCCAGCATCCTCGATGGTTGGCCATTCTGGTGATTGGCCACTCTCTTACTTTTGAAGTGCTTTGATCATCTGGAGCCACCCTGTTGAACGATGGTGATGATATTGGCTTAATTTTACGGTGCTGTGACAAAAGATCATTTAGATAATGTATAAGATGTGTTTTGAGCTGTTAGAAATAGGGTTCCTATTGAGGGTATTTGGCGAGCCAACATGGCCGTGATGTGGGATTGAGGTGATCATTCTGTGATATTATGGCAGTAGACAAAGCTGTATTGTAACTTTTGGAAGAAGAAGAAGAAGAAGAAGAAGAAGAAGAAGAAGAAGAAGAAGAAGAAGAAGAAGAAATAATAATGATTGTTGTTCTCAGTAGGCTCAAGACCTAGCTCCTCACCTTGTTAAAATTCCAGCCGAATCCTATGCATGTTTACTCAGATGTAATATTATCAAAATATTCAGTGTGACTTCATCTCAGGTGCAGCTTTAATCACAAAATGTTGCTCCAACAGTAATGGGATGTACAGAAGTCAAGTCACAGTTCTCTGACCATTGACCTCTGATAGAAGTCATAATATAAATAAATAAAACCCCTGGGTCAAACCTAAAGCAGCCTTCCTCAACTTGGTGGCCTCCATGTGTCTAGGACTACAGCTGCCATCCATCCCAGCTTGTTTGGTCCATCATCAGGGAGGATAGGAGCTGTCTCCCTAAACATCTGAAGGGCACCAGGTTGGGAAAGACTGGCCTAAGGAAGGGGAGATCTGTTTCACATGGTGCTTTCTCCTACTTCTCTGCATGTGAAGCCTGCCTGCTATGACTTCATTGCTTATCCTTTTTGCTTAACATGCATTCAAAAGATTTACATCTCTCATTATTGCTTGAATTGAAACTGCGTGTCATATTCCCTTTTGCATTTATATTTTTTATCGCATCATACTATGTTTGGCAAGATTTCCCCCCGCTTGAATATGTTTGCTGGTACTTCAAGTAGGTCTTAACTTCTGTCACAGTCTTGACAATTAAACATAAATTGTATAGGTTTTGCAGATAAATGTACATCATAACTCGTTTTGTTTTCAAGTAAGTTTACTTGAAGTTCTTAAGCGTGTTGATTTTTAGTCCAAAGGGCAAAAGCGTTCCAGCAACTGTAACAAGTTTGTAGCTTAAAGATATGCCTCCTGCCAACCTATCAGTTCGAAAGCACGTCAAAGTGCAAGTAGATAAATAGGTACCGCTCTGGCAGGAAGGTAAAGGGTGTTTCTGTGTGCTGCTCTGGTTCACCAGAAGCGGCTTAGTCATGCTGGCCACATGACCTGGAAGCTGTACGCCGGCTCCCTCGGCCAATAAAGCAAGATGAGCACCGCAACCCCAGAGTCGGCCACGACTGGACCTAATGGTCAGGGGTCCCTTTACCTTTACCTTATTAGCATGAAGCATCATGACACATGAACACTGTTGTAAGAACATGCGAGTTTGTAGGCTGTAACAACAATTTGTATCTAGCTCCCTTCTAATCTCCTTTTACACATCCGAGGCACAGTCCACGAATGTCACTCTTGCACATCTTTGCTAATTTGCGATTCTTTTGTTTGTTTTGAGGGATTTTATTTATTAAAAAGAAGAAGAATTGTGCAATAGAGGTTTGTGCTCCAGAGAAGTCTTCTGCTTTCGGCCTCTTGTTTTCCTGCTCAGAGCAGGCTTATGAGCAAGTGTCACTTTAAAACCAATTTTAGCCCACTTTAAACCTGGAATATTTTTCTGTTGTACACTTCCACTGCCCTTTGTCGGCTTCTTTGATCTTTCCTGCCATCTTCACCAATCTAGAGCCAGTTAAAAGCCTTCAGAAAACAAGCGTAATAGTCTCATGGAGATTGCACCACTTTACAATGCCGAGAGAGAGTTTCATATATGACTCTTGTCCAACAACAAAGAAGCCAGTACATTAGAGGGAAGATTAGACTAGAATCTTTCCAATAAGCCAGCGCCCTACATGTGGGAAGCTTCTTGCATGACAATCCATTCCGTGCAATACAGCTTAAAGTGGTACAGTCCTACCACACATTTCTTTTGAAGGTTTGCTTTGGGTCTAAGTACATACAGTGTCAGCCATCCAGGGAAGGACCCCATCACTTCTGGACCGTGTCTGGCATGCTGTTGAGAACTAATTAAATGTAGAAAGTAAGCCCCACAATCCGTTAATGAGTTTACTGAAAGTATTCACAAATTTGATAATAGTTCTTCAGGAATAGGATACATTCACTTTTCATGAAAGGAACTAAAAGCAGAAAGAAGCTTCAGCTTAAAACTGTTTGTTTTGCCTTGACTACCTCAAACAAACTGCTAAACACAACTTCCAAAGTTTCATTTTCTCTTTGAAGTAAACTGCCAAATTACTGTTCAATCCAGTGTTCAGTGTTTCTTCATCTCACTGGCAAGAGAGTTGTGCAGCTGCTGCAACTGAACTCATTCAGCGAGTACTGTGACTCAAGTCATCCTATTTATTTAATATGAGCAGAGGTGGAAGGAAGGCGATTATGATGTGGCTATTTCAAAGCCTGTCACGAACACGCCGAAAAGAACCACTGTATAAACCCAAACTCTGCATTTAAAACAAAAACCAAAAAACAGAGCAACATTTTGATTATTGGTCCTGCTTGTCAGGTAATTCAATGTTGTTTCAAAAATTCAATATACATCTTTAGTTCAGCTCAGTGATACTTTATATGCTAATGTATGTTGTTGGTTTTCTGTCAGTCTTGTGGAAGCCAGTATCTTTTATGAGTGATTGTGTCAGCTGGTGAAAGGGATGCTCAGAGCTATACATCTCAACACCTTCCTTACACAATGGAATGGCACCCCAGTAGTTATTGAGCAAGATAATTTATTGTGTTTGAGAAACAATTATTTCTACATTCAACATGCTAATTTGGTACAAACTTCTATGCTGCTACATGTTAGAATGTTCGGATTAATTAGTACATGAGATGATTTGCCCCATTTGAGTTTGTGGAATGTTTTAGCACTCGACTTCAGAATGCAGTGGTACTCAACTATATTTCGTTTAGTTGGTCAGTTTTATCCATTCCAACCCCCGTTCAAATAATAATGTGTCCTAAACCTACTGGAGTCTCTTCTCCTAATCAGTGAAATGGGAATGAGCATTGCAGTTTGCATAGCTAGATTGCCTCCATTGCTTTAGAGCCTTGATAGCTCAGCTGGTTAGAGCCTGCTGCTAATAATGCCAAGGTTGCAGGTTCGATCCCTGTTTGGGGCAGCTGCATATTTCTGCATTTCAAAGGGTTGGACTAGATGATGCTCAGGATCCCTTCCAACGCTACAGTTCTATGGTTCTATTACACATGAAAAGGAAACGCCCCCTTTTCCAGATCAAAGGGGTGAGGAACCTTTATCTCATCCATCCCTTGTGGGCCAAGTTTTGAATGGCATGTTCTTAATCAGCCTTACTTGTCCAAAGAGGAAGGGGGAGAGTTGCATAGGCCTTCCTTTTGTTCTGAAAAGCAACAACTCTGTCAGACCGTAGTCGGTCTGAATGCATTTTATTTCAAAGTTTTGCTCTGAATATCTGAGACTGATGAAGAACTGACTACAGCAAAGCTGACTTCCAGCATTCCTGTCAGATCCTAAATGTAAGGCCTGAGGATTGTAGTCTACAAGCCAAACCTTTTCTTTTTCTCTTCTCTGGGAATGACCATGTAGGCACGAAAGGATGAAGCGTTCACAGGCAGGATGCAGCCCTGTTGCTTTCCCCAAAAACAGTTATGCCAGTAAGAGTCAGATTTCAATTGCTTTGTATTTCCATGGCATTATTCACTCTTACCTATAGAGAAAGACGCCACAAACTCTTCAAGATGCCCAAACAGTTTTCTCAAATTAGCTTGAATTCTCATGGAATATTGAATCTTAGCATAGGTTTTGAGGTCACCGAAGGAACCCTCCATTCATACGATCTTTAAAAATGATTTGATGTTTTAAAAGGGAAGGGAAACCTTCCTTAAGAGAGGGTTTTTGCTTTTATTCATTTATACTTTAAAAGCATTGTGGGGACAGTAGGACAATTATTATTATTATTTTGCTCAGCTGCCATATTAATATGATTGGGAATTGAAGGAGCATCAAGGAGTGTCTTGTAGGGCTTATTTTTTTTCCTGCTAGGGAGATGTCTTTAAAATACTGTGTTGGCTATCATTAGGTCATTCGCTATTTTAGCTTTATTTAGCTTTATTACTCTACTGAAGGATACTTAATAGCACTGGAAAGCAGTCCCAAAATATCCATCCATCCACACACACAATAAAACCGTTCTTGTAACTTTTCTATATATTTAAAAGGGGATACGTTGTAATAGAAAAAATATGCACTCCACCTTTGCTATGAGAAGGATGGAAGAAAAAACAGCATGTGGGCCAGGCCTTGAAAAAAGAACAGATTCAGTGCTGAGTGAGTAGGAGCAGGAAGTGACTGCACATGGGTTTTGGGAGACTATACCTGCAATAATTTATTCAGTTTTTATGTCTTAGTTTTTGGTGGGAGAGACACAACATGTGTAAAAAGCTCATGTTGGCATCTTTGACACAATTCTGCAGTCGTTATTTAAGACTCTGAAAACAAGTTGAAGTTGACCATTTCAGTTCTAAACAACTTGAGATAACCACTTACCGTATATTTTGCTCTATAAGACTCACTTTTTCCCTCCTAAAAAGTAAGGGGAAATGTATGTGCGTCTTATGGAGCGAATGCAGGCTGCGCGGCTATCCCAGAAGCCAGAACAGCAAGAGGGATTGCTGCTTTCACTGCGCAGCGATCCCTCTTGCTGTTCTGGCTTCTGAGATTCAGAATATTTTTTTTCCTCCTCCAAAAACTAGGTGCGTCTTGTGGTCTGGTGTGTCTTATAGAGCGAAAAATGCAGTAATTGAAAGTAGAGAAGGAGACAACCTTGATTTGTCATGTGAGAGTACTCAGGGATCCTTCAGTTTAATGGAACACAACACAATTGTTTTCTTGTATATCTATACACCCTGCATATAGATTTGATGAATGTGGAGTTCAGACTGGGAAAAGTAGGCTGTGACAGCTCCCAACTGTGTGACCTCCTATTAGCTATGTAAATGCTCATATCTTTGGTTTCAGATGACTTCTATACGGCAGGAATATGAAACCAAACTCAAAGGTCTGATGCCAGCATCTGTGAGACAAGAACTTGAAGACACAATTATTTCGCTAAAATCTCAGGTAAAATCTGAACGTTTCTCTCTTTGTAAGACTGGAACTGTGCACATCCTGACATTTGACGGTTCCAAGAATTGTCAATATATTTAATGGCACACAGCATCCCAGTTTGGCCAGCAGTTGTACCTAGTCCTAGTTTCGGTTTCTTTTCCAGCCTGTTTTTCAGCCAGAATGGCTGATACTGTGGCTGAATCATTACTGCTGTATATGCAGTAGAATCGTATGGGAAGAAGTCAAATTATCCCTTTGGGGGTTCATTAAAAATTCCCTAAAAGATAGAGAATGGTGACTGTTCCTTAATCGTGTATTAATTGAACAGGTAGGTTAATTTTTACAATGCTGGTATGCTTTCCACCATGAGCACCCAAGTGAGGAAGACAATGGCACACTTCTGCAGTAAGACATTACTGACACAAAAAAATGGGACTTGTGCTCTCTGGTTCATTTTACCTATTTATTACTATGTTTATATTGCACCTTTCCTGGGAGGAGTTCAGGGTGCAATGTGATGCTCTCCTACTCCCCGTTTGACCCACACAACAACCCTGCTAAGTAGGTTAGACTGAGACACTGCGAGTGGCCCAAGATCAATCAGTGAGCTTCATGGCTGAGTGGGGATTTGAACCCTGGTCTGACCCTCTAACCCAGGGTTTCTCAAACTTGAGTTCCAGCCATTGTTGGACTACCTAACTAGTAGGACCAGTATTCAGGGATGATGGGGACTGTCGTCCAAAAAACAGCTGGCGACCCAAGTTTGGGAAACTTTGCTCTAACCCAATGACAGGGAACCTGCAGCCCTCCATATGTTGTTGGACTCCCAACTCCCATCATCCCTGAGCATTGGTCGTACTAGGTGGAGCTGATGGGAGTTGAGATCCAACAATATCTGAAGGCCATGGGGTAGCCATCCCTACTCCAACCATGGCATGACAGGGATTGCCTCTGGGTATCTATAGGAGCATCTCCACCCCCATTGTTCAGCCCGGACACTGAGGTCCAGCACCCAGGGGCTTCTGGCAGTTCCCTCCCTGCAGGAAGTGAGGCTACAGGGAACCAGACAGAGGGCCAGTAGAGGTGCCCTCCCGTCAGATGTCAAGGAAATAAACAACTATCTGACTTTTAGAAGACATCTGAAGGCAGCCCTGTTTAGGGAAGTTTTTAATGATCAATGTTTTATTGTGTTTTTAATATTCTATTGGGAGCTGCCCAGAGTGGCTGGGGAAACCAAGCCAGATGGACAGGGTATGAAGTATTATTATTATTATTATTATTATTATTATTATTATTATTATTATTATTATTGTATGTGAGTGCAGGCAGGGTGTAGGGATCAGAAGAATAAGAAGGGTGTAGAATAAGGAGGCACAGAGTGGCTGAATACAGTTCAGCTTGGCTACACTTTTCAGTCCACTGCTGAGTGTACAACAAGCATTCCGATACTATGATATACTCATTCATTTTGGAGCAGGATCCTTTAGGAGCCATTTGCACTCTACTTGGAGAAACTTGAAATACTTTGCTGCTCTCACATTCCTTTAATTCCAGAGCTTTTCAGGGGAAGATCAAAAGGTTAAAATGGATATTTGTTATATGAGTTCCCACTGAATGAGGAGAGGAAACCTTTAATTAAAAAAATATTTAAAAATCATTTTTCCACATATTTATTTGGTAAAATACTAGTTTGAAATGAGTTGGGGTTTTTTTGCTATAATTTCTGGCACATTGAATGAAACACCACTAACTTTGAAGACAGGAGGAGCTCCATTAGAAAGAAACTTGCTGTTAATTTTGCTTCTAGCCTCTGTTTATAAATACATAAGAGAAATAAAAATGGAACATTATATGGGATATCTGTGACCGAAAAGTTCTGTGTCCCCACTTGCCAATCATAACAGGAGTTTTATAATTTCTAGAGGGAATGTCTTAGTAGCAAAAATATGGCATCTTAAAGACCAACAAATTTATCATGGCATAAGCTGCTATTGGGCTACAGTCCATTGAAACTTACACTGTAATAAATTTGTCTCAGTACAATTCTAACCATGTATTAGAAGTGGAGTTAGGATTGCAGCCTTGGTCCCCAGGGTTCCAGAAGACTCTTAGAAGCTTTTGCTTGTGGGAACAAATTTCTATTGGAATTCACTGCAAAATAAATAAATATTTACTTACTTAACTTAACAAATTTCTATACTTCCCTACATCCGAGGATCACAGGGTGGTTTACTATATATATATATATATATATATATATATATATATATATATATATATTACATAACATAGTAACCAAAAAAAATGACATATATATCGTATTTTTTGCTCTATAAGACGCACCAGACCACAAGACGCACCTAGTTTTTGGAGGAGGAAAAAATATATTCTGAATCTCAGAAGCCAGAACAGCAAGAGGGGTCGCTGCGCAGTGAAAGCAGCAATCCCTCTTGCTGTTCTGGCTTCTGGGATAGCTGTGCAGCCTGCATTCGCTCCATAAGACGCACACACATTTCCCCTTACTTTTCAGGAGGGAAAAAGTGAGTCTTATAGAGCAAAAAATACGGTATATAGGAGTTAAGAATTTAACTAGGAAACCTATTTCAAGTTAATAAGTGTGCTTATCTAATAATTTTGCCAGTACAAAACATTGGAGAGGTGACAACTGGAGAAATCTGCAGCTTCCCCTGTAGTGAAGTTTGAGTTGTTTGGTTTCTTTTTCATTTTTAATGAAATCTGATTTCCACCTGCAGGGCTTTTGTGAGTATACACAGCATTTCAAAGGAGCAAAAGTCACTCCAGACTCCTAATAGTGGGTGTTAATGCAGAAAAAGCCTAGCTGGCAGCTGCCTGCTCAGTGAAATACAGTAGCCAGCTACAGACTGCTCAGTAAGCAGGGCTCCCTTCTGAAGCACAGGTGTCCTCTCCTTTGAAATTGCTGAAATTCCTGCTTCAAAAACATCAGACGGAAAGAGCAGTGGAATCCTTGCACCTGTCAGGGTTATTAATTGTTCCAGAGGAATGAGAGGGCTTGGC